CTTGCTAGACCAATTAAGAAAATATTGATATAGTAAAGATAAATTCATAGCCAAATTAGATTATACGATTCAAAGATTGATGGCATACATTAACAAGTGAAGGTGCCACCAAGTGAGGATAAAATTAGGGGTACGAGGACTTGAGTAATTAAGGCATGTCTTCTGTAGATATAAAGAAGCTCCGCTTACTCGAACGATCCCTAATAGAAAAGTTAGAAAAATGAGTGGACTAAAATTAACACGGGACTTTGTTTGAAAGGTTTAATGTATTGGTAGTGTTGAAAAAATAAAATTCAGGTAAAGTGAAGCAGTATAGAACTAGCACTATGTCATCTTAACAAGCTTGTTCTCTTTGGACTGTCTTGACGCAGCAATTAACATGAATCTCTATGCTATGAAAGATAGAGATTGGAAGAGCCAAGCCAATTTGCTTAGTCAATCAAAATCTATCATTAGCTAATTTTGTGAATTCTCATCATGGATTATACGCGTGGATATGTGTAAAAAAGGCAGATAGTGATATACTAAAATGGCAAAGACTCATACTTTACAACCATAATTTGATTCTGTTAGATATCAAGAGGTAAACAAAGTGGTACCAGGTTAAATGCTTATTATTTCAGTTTTGGATGCAGGAACAAAGGGATAAATTGGTTTGGAAGTTGTATTCGTTATTCATGTTTAGGTTAATACTTGGCCGAAGACCATACTACCACAAGTTAATTATGGACCACATTCTAGTTATAGGAATAGAAGTAATTGTCTTATGTAATTTAAAATTTTGTTTTGATTGATATGAAAATTGTAGAATATAAATTAAACTATTGTTGACGTGACAATGACATAGTTGTGATTTATTTGTTTCATTTTTTAGTCGTTACCATTTTGCAGGTACATGCAGCCTTAGTCGATCTTAGTTTAAGTGAAAATTAAATCCCAAAAACTTTAACACCTTACTTTAGATGGAATATGATACAAATTACTTCTACTTCTATATGTACAACTGTTTTTCTAAGGAAGAAAATTATTATTATTATTATTATTATTTGGTGTAAATATACATGGAAGTTTATGCCTGTGTGTTAGAAAAGACAACCATGTTTCTCCAATAAATTGCTTTTGTTATTTAAATTTCATAACTCCAAGCAAATGGTAGCAAGGGGTGCCCTAAGCACTTTAGCTTCAGATGTTGTACTTGAAAGCTATCTTGACGAATGCTATCGACTGGTCTAATTACATGCTTCATGACAAATGAGAACTTCAAAGAGGATACCAAGCAAGTAAATAACAACAAACTTAGTTTTGATTGTTTCGTATTGAATTTAATATATTGTTTCTTCTTTTGTGGTAATCAATTGTTTGTTTGTTGATTTCTTTTAGTTCTTACCTCAACCCTTTATTCTTTATAAATAATAACATTTTTTTTACCAGCTTCTGAATATCTTTTACATTTACAAATAAATTTATCAATATTTACATTCTTAATTTTAGTCCCATTTGACCTCATTCTCTTTCTCATTCTTTTTCTCTTTCTTATTTTCAACTGCAAAATCTTCCATAAAATAATATTATAAGCAAATAAAAAACTTTTCATTTTTTTCAGCCACATATTTTCAAAAAAAATACTATTCTAACCCTTAAAATTTGGAAAGAATGGGGATCAAATGAGAGCTTAATATTAACCAACTAATGTACAACTCACATTCACCTCACTGGTGATTAAAAAATAGAAGAAAAATTAAGAATCTCTTATATAGTGTGGTTGAAATTTTTTTTGAAGAAAAATGATTCTAAAAAAAACTTTGGCAAACAACCCTTCCAAAAACTTATTAATTCCATTTACTTTTTTTTTAATATCAAAATATTGTTTTTATTTTTATTTTTTACATACATTTTCTCATTATATTTTAACACATCCCATTCCCTCGACGGCTCGACCTTAACTGTTGTTGTCACTACTAATTGTAATAATTTGTTTAACATTTGAACACTAAGAATCTGTTTGAGTTCCATTTTTACTAAAAATATATTTTGGAATAATATTTTGATGGAGAATATGTATCTAAAAAAATAAGGAAACATTTTGAGTTTGCATGTAGTAATATTTTATTGAAGAATGTGTCGTTCAAAATAAGTGGTAGAGAAGCAAAAAATATATTTTGAAAATAAGGTGGACCAAACGAGAAATAAATCTTCTCCCATTGTCATTAACACTTATAATATACCTTGTTACTCTTACAACCACTGCCACCTTTAATGTACATTTTGTTGGAAAAAAAATTGAGTTATGGGCCGACTTTGGCACGAGTTTTGAGTGGGACCCGATTATTCAATTAGGAAGATAAAAGTTGATTTGTGTTCTCCTCC